TATTATATAGAAAAACAAACTCATTTCTTCTAATGTTCAATAATGAAAGTATAATTGTGTTATAAATTAGACTTTATGAAAATAATATGTCTCTTTAAAATATCACCTATAACTAGGGCCCTTCCTGGTGGCACAATGGGTTGGGACACTGCACTTCAAGCCAGCTTCAGTGCAAGTTTGATCCCCTTCCCCGGGGGGTACCCACATGGTGCAACAGACTTCTCCTGATCTGCCTGCTACTCCCCTCAGCAGTGTATTTCATCGATCTGCCTGTTTTGCTCCCCACTCTCTCTGGTGGGTCTTCTTACCATCCCCGCACCTCTGGCTTGTGCGCTAGTTCTGTATGCAAAATTAAGTAAAAAAAAAAAATTAAAAAATAAAAGTATTGGCCCTCTTTAACAAAAAAATATCACCTATAGTTGAATTGGCATGTTACCAGAAAAACATTGTAGGACCAAAGGAATACTTCCTGAAATTTTTTATTTTATTGTTATTGATTTTTCCATTGGTTTCCAATAAGTACTATTTAAATTTTAAGAGTGCATGTAGCTTCATAACTTGATAAATGTAAATGCCACACTGCACCCAGCACCAAAGATCTAGTGCGATTCACCATCGCGAAACTTACCTCCTCTCCCAGTTCCTCCCATCTCCACTCCTCTTCTGGTAAGCACTATTTTATTGTCAGAGTCCCGTTGTTTTGTTGTTGTATTTTATTAGTTCATTTTATTTCCCTGATGTATTTGTTAATTACCAAATGCCATTTACTGTTACCACTTAAAGTTGAATATTTTTGTGTGTGTGGACATGCTTTCTTGTAAATTCTGTAGTGCCGACAAGGCACAAATTATCTTTGCATATTCAAGAATTAAAAAAAAACTGTCTTATCTCAGATCATTTAAAAATATTTTTCAATTGTAATTATCTATTTTACTTTTTAGTCATCTAATAATTTACATTATGTTCCATATGCCATTTCTAGCGTAAAGGTATCTATTTATATATTGCTCCATATTTCACATCAGTTAATAATCTACAGAATTGCCAGGCTATTGTTAAAGCTGAAGAAACCTTAAACTGTATCAAGTGGCGTTTGCTCTTCCTAAATGATTTTACTGTAGTTCTTCATTTATTCTAATAAAGGCTGTATGCTAATATAGTTTTCACTTCATAGAGTAGTCACTGAAGATTATTGCTTGGATATATGATAAGCACACCTAAGTCTGAGTAGAGACACTGCCTCTACTAATCACATAGTGCTTATGTATGAGAGATACAATGCCATATTACTTTTGACTCATTTCCTTGAATGATTCTGCATTTTGTTTGACTATCAATAATATTCTTACCCAGTGCATTGCCATAGGTACCATTTATCTGAGAGGAAAGAGAATTAAGAAAGTTTTACAAATGATGAATGTTTTGGGGTATGTAATGTATAACATGATGACTATATAGTTAATACTATATTGTATACTTGAAATTTGCTGAATAGCAAATCATAGTGTAGTATTACCACATACAGAAAAATAGTAACTGAGGTGATGGATGTGTTAATATGATCATGGTAATCATTTTACAATGTATATCTATATTAAATCATCATTTTGTATACTCAAAAATACGTGATTTTTGACAATTATACCTCAAAAAAATACTAACTTAAAAAAAAAGTAAAATAAAATGAACTTTGGGAAATGAATACAATTTATATAATTAAGTTATATGAAAAAGGTTATCTGTTGGTTAACCTGTTATAAATGGTAAAGGTCAATAATACCGAGCCATAATATAATGAAGGTCAGTCTCTTTCCATGCTCTATGTATACAATTTCTAACTAAATCAATAGGGATTCCATACAAATTCCAGGGTAAGTATGTAAGTATTGTTTTGAAGATAAAGCAAACAATTAATTTGATGGTATTTGAAATAATAAGTCATTTAACTTTTGCTGTATGGTTTACAATGATTTTATTTCAAAACTCACTTACTGTAATAACAGCATTTATAGTGTGTTTCCTACAGAGCACACAAAACCATAAGATAAAGCAAATGAAGCAGGCATATGAGCTATTAGGTAGATAATAATTATCAATCACCATGGTAAAATCTATATAAAGATAGTTTCCACCAAAAGACCCTGAGCTGTTCATATAACAGTAATTTATGCTGAGAATAAAACTTTCCAAAATAGCACTTATAAATTACAAAAATATTTAATGAACAATTACATGGTAAAAAACCAAAAAAAACAAAACATCATCTGATTTAACATTTTCAATATTAAAGCAAAGTTACACAGTCACTCCACTCTGGACATTTCAGTCATTCCTTAGATAACTTCATTCATACTTTGGAACTTTCATTTACAGAAACACAATAACTTTCAAGAATACTTCAAAATTTTTTTGCACTAAAAATTTAAAATTGGTGAGGTAGAGTCGTAGGGCTCAAAAGGCACCTAAACATTTATAAAGTTATGTTAATATCCACCACATTCCTAAGATGCTAAATTTATGGTAAATGTAGATCTTAGTGAAAGAGTATAGGAAATTATATCAGCAGTTTTACTCAGTGCTCTGCAAATATGTTTACATGTTTACTAACAGCGATTTCACTAAACAGGAACAATTAGCCACAAGCTGTCAAAAGAACTTTACTTTTCAATTAAATAGTAGCAGTGTGTGGATAGAAAGTAGGTATATTTCTCAGAGACATATGGAAGTTTATTTTAAAATAGAAGAATACATGTAAAGAGCAAATAAGAGTTTGTGATATCACTTTCTTCTAGCATTAGTCACTTTAAAATTGAGAATTTAAAGACAAATTGGAAAAGATAGTCATAGGAAACTATCATTAAATTATAATGGATTGAGATCTAAAAAATTCAGATAATACAAAAGGTTATTTCCAATATTTACTAGAAAACATTTAAGCCTTTTGGTGAAATACATGGAATGTACTGAAGTATTCCAGTAAATGTGATACTGATAAAATTAGTGACAATGAATCCCTACTAATAGTTTTATGTGTAAATGTAATATAATCACTTAGGAATTAAAAAAATTTTGTGACTGAATACGTTGACATTTAATTATATATTTTAAGTCTAAAGTGGTATGTGACTTTTGTTTTTATGTCTAACTGGATTGACATAAGATATTAGATATACTAATCAAAACTGAAATACAACTTATGTAATGTTTAAAAGTTATCCAGAATTGTATAAGAGCATATATAACACTGCTAAAAGGGTTGACCACTTTTTAATTTGAACAAAGTTAGCTTATAATTTAAACCAGTCTGAACTCTGAATGACACAGGAAGTCATGATATTTCTCCAATTAGTTGCCTAGAATTCGAGGGCTCTTAAATAATTGAAAGGGAATGTTATCCCCCAATCATGAATTTAAATTTCTGAATTAAAGTGTCTTTAGGTTACCCTAGTTAAGAGAAATCTTTAAAAAAAGTCAGTGATTCTAAAATTGGAGTCTTCACAATGCACACATGCAAGCTTTATTCTTTAGAATGAAACAATCTATTATCATCCAATCTGAGTCAATAATTCTGTTTCTAGACTCTCCCTTCCTGAGGAAATAAACTTGAAACAATGTCATCCTCCCCCCTTTGGCAACATAAATAGTAATAAATTTCCCCTAAACTTTACTTTCTTTTTTTGCATTTTATCACTACTAATATAGAGAGGTGTCATTTTACCAAACAGTGAAAAAAGGTTGGAGAGTAAAGGAGGAATTTAAAATGTACTCCTCAGAAAATGGATCACATGTTCCCTTTTTGTTGCCTATAAGGGTTATAGACTTCTTATCTAATTCAGACAGTACGTCAGCTTCCTATAATAAAAATGAAGTTAGAAACTAATGTTTTTAAATTAAGAAATAATCAACCATTTTAACCAGTGTTATGTAGTTTTGTGCAATTCTGGTTAAAAAAAATGTACTTGCACTTGTAACTGACACTAAATGTGCCATATGTTTTACTATAATAGAAATAAGTGCTTGAAGTGTTAGGAGCAAGCATGTAACATTGGGTTATTCTTCCAGCAGGATGTTAAAGCTTTGGAAGAAAAACAAGGGGAATCTGCTTTTTTGTTTGTTTGTCTGGCTGTTTTAAGATTTATTCATTTATACATAGAGAGCTAGCGTCTAGGCCAGAGGTGCAGGGGCGGTGAGAGGATTCACCAGAGACTGAGTGGGGAGAAAACAGGCAGAGTGATGAAGCACACTGCTGAGGGGAGCAGAGGGTGGGTCAGGAGAGGTCTGCTGTGCTATGTGGGTCACCTCCGGGGCCGGGGATTAAACTTGCACTGAAGCAGCTGGTGCTAGCTTGCAGTGCTGCATCCTAACCCACTGCGCCACCAGGGAGGGCCTCTGTTTTTTTTGTTTGTTTGTTTAAGGGGAAGAGTCCAAATCATGAAAAAAATGTTTATAAAATGGAGCACTGGACCAGCAATATAATTTCAATACTTATTAGATTAACCAAAGTAAGCTAAAGGAGCATATGAGGAATTACATGTTTTCAGATAGGTTGCGAATTTTGATTTTCAGAGTAAAATGCTACTCTGAAAAAAATACTAAACTTTTACTTGTAACTCATTATTACTATAGTTCATTTATTCTTAAATAATTTTCCTACATTTTTGGACTTATTTCTGGTACTGATAGCTACATACTTGAAATGGTAAAGAGATAGTCATATACCTGATTGACATGTGAATTTTTAAATAAATTATAGCACTATAAAAGCTCACATGAAGAGGCACTTGAGTGGCATGTTAGAAATTGATCTTGGATAAAGTTAAAATGAAACAAAAGTTTCATTTAATAGTTATGAAAATATTTTTGCTTACACTGAATGTTTCCAGATAAATTAAGATGCTGATTAAATAGGCCATAAAAAGATCATAAAATTTGGGAATTTGGAAACTTGCTTTGAATAGGTGTCTAGTTAAAGCAAAGTTTCTGATGTATGTGTGTTTTTTTTACATCATACCATGTGGCATATGAATGTGCAATGGGTGGGATGGGTGAAAGAATAAAGGTGGTGGTCCAGCCATTACAAAGTAAGTACAGCACCCTCTCTCAGCAGTGAAGTATGGAGCAGGCTGATAAAAGCAAGTTACACTGTCTGTACTAGGTAAGATATTCTGCTCTCCAAGTGCTTTTAAAGCCATAAGGGTGATCATATTAAGTGTCTGTCTTCTTTCATTTCCCATAAGGCAAACAGTGCTTTCATTTACAACACCATGCAAAGTCATAAGGTAGTCATATTTGCTTTTTCCTTCACCTATGCAATGGTTGCGGAGGTATGATTCAATTTTCTTTTGCTGTTCTGCTATATCAGGAAAATCAATGAAAAATCTAGAGCACATATAACGCTCCAGACTCTTAATTTCTTTTGCACAAGCTGGTTTAAAGTCATGAACCAGCAAGTTACTATACTTCAGAAGACCACCACCTCTAATCTCTTCAGGTTTTCTGGTAGATATAAGCTTGCATTGCAAATGCATCATTGCTTCTTGGAAGTCTCCATACATGCTTTCAGCTACCACAACAGGATACGATTCTTTAGTTAGCTTAGCATTTTTATCACAGTAGAAGTCTAACATAGAGCCCAAAGCAATTTGAAAGGAATCTACACTAAACTCAAATTGTCGTCTGAGTGAATTTACAAATTTTAGTTCTACATTCTTCCCAGAATTATTAGAAAGAGAGATGAGACTCCAACGATCATGTTTATTACAAACTTTGACCATTTTTTGTACATATGCCTCTTTCATGGTCTTCACAGTAATCTTTTCCTTTTTTACACCTTTTGGCAAAAAGTCGAGTAAACAACTTAGAACCGTATCTTTAACAACCTGAAATTTTTGATCATCTGGTAATTCAACACCAAAAATAACATCAAGATCCTTATAGGTGATTCCATTGTGACTTGAAAGTATGTAACTTGCTGTGGAACCATTCAATCGTACATCTTTTACAATAATTCCTTGCTCTATTAATTGATCTTTAACAACATGAATGATATCTTTTGGTTTTACTTCCAATGTGGGAAAATTCCCCCTTCCATGAACTGGAATTACTTCACCCAACACTTGATCCAGTGTGATAACTTGATCCCAAGAGAGGTTACTGAATCTGATTACAGACATTGTGAAGTCAGTAGATCAACTAGAAAGCAAATAAAATATTTTAAAAAATTAGCATCTTGAAATCATTGCATATGTAAAGGATATGGAAAAGTTAAAAATAGACTTACCTGCAGCATAAAACCAATCGAATACTGTGAAGAATCTTATCAATGTAACAAATCGCGTTAAAATCTAGAAGTAAATGAGAGCCAGTATGATTATGTCAAAATTTTTAGATATATTGGTGCATGCAAACAGACATTTTCAGGGATTGATTAGAGTTATAAATATTGTTGCTATAAAATGGTAGTATTTCTCAATCTTTCTTCATGTAAATACTGTAATAATTATATTTGTTTGGCGATATAAATTTTGTTCATGTGCTAGTCATAGTACATTATTGAGGTTAATTGTCATGAATTTAAAGTGAGATTGGAGAGCATTTCCATGTGTGTTAGAACTCAATGGACTAAATAACATAATATTTCAAAATTACATGCATAGCATCTTTAATCTAAAAGGATCAGAGCCTTCTCACATATAATATTCATATATATATATATATATATATATATATATGAAAAGGCTATTTCTAAAGTCTACTATTTGAGTGTGAATTCCTTAAATTGCTTGAGGATAAGTATTATAGATAATTGATAAGTATTGTAGCTAATTCTTCAGTGTGCCCATAACACTTTAAGAAATGTTAAATTGGTTGACACAATGAAATACTATCTCAAACCAATGAGAAGTAACCATATTAAAAAGACCAGAAACAGGCCCTCCCTGGTGGCGCAGCGGGTTAAAGCACTGCACTAAGAAGCTGAAACCACTTCCGCATGAGTTCGATTCCCGCCT